TCATTTAGTTTCTTTGGACTCTAATGGGTTCTTGCATCTATTAGGCTCAGCTGTTTCCATCTTCTTTTTGGGATACTTCAAATGACTTATTCTAGAATTCATCAGGTGCTATCAGGATCCACCAGGATCCACCAGGATCCGCAGGATCTACCAGGATCCGCAGGATCCACTAGGATCCATCAGGATCCACCAGGATCCGCTTTTTCCCCCTTGAATATATCAATCGGTGTAATTTTACACGCTCTTTCAGATGAGACGTTGCTCAATGTTGTCTGCCGTACGTTGGTTTCAAAAATTAAAAAATACTAAAAGGAAGTTGTTTTGCGCACTTTTGAGGGGTCCCTATGTTGAAATGCCTATAACTCCATGTGTATAAGCATCTTACATGCGTGTACATGCCTGCAGAATAAGTATTTCATGCGTGTAAATGGCAGTACATCGTATACATGATACCATTCCTTTTTTAAATATTTTTTTTGCTGAACATGCGTGATGCTGCAAAATCTATACAGGCGGAAACTTGCGTGTAAGCATTCCAAAGTTTTGCGTGCACAAGCAAATATAATTTACCCTGTGACGCCTTCACACGCATGCAAGGTTATAGTAAAACATGCGTGGACACGGGCCCATTATCGCGCATTTATAGTCATGTTTTTTAAAATTGTGTTTGACTGGGAGGAAGGATGATTCAGTTCGACGAAACCCTCACCTTCACTCTCAAGATACTACTCACCAGGCGAGTTTCGTCGAACTGAATCATCCTTCCTATTCTTTCGATATTGCACCTACTGATTATCACACGTTCTCAAATTGAAAGAAATATCTTTGTAGCAAGATTTTTGACTCTGACAACGAAGTAATAACCATTGTTGAGAATTACTTAAGTAATTTAGATTCAGTTTTTTAATGGAATAAATAGTCTGTATGATCCTTGGCAGCATGTGGTTGCTAACGAAGGTCAATACATTGAATAAATACTACAGTTGTTATCCTATAGGTTCATAATATATGATTTGCACGGACTTTCCGGACAACCATATAGTTTTATTAAATTCGAGAACGTAAACGTGTGATAATTATTCACTGGTGAGGAATTTTATTGATACAAAACTTTTAGTGACATAAAGTGATGCTGAGACGATATAACATAAGTCCATTTTGGTTTGCAATATTTTTCCAATTAATATACGTAGAAGTGCTGTCATATGAGACAAAAACAGTTCAACTTAATCCACATCCAACTCCTGACCAACTAGCTTGGTTAGAACAATCAGATATTGGCTTTTTGATTCATTATAATATGGCAACATTCATACCATTTGAATATGATGGTTGTAATCGTGTGCCATCATTAGTGCCGGATATCAATCTATTTAATCCTGATACAGTGGATACAGATAATTGGGCACAGACATTTATGGATGTTGGTGCTAAATATGCTATATTAGTAGCTAAACATAACTGTGGTTTTACAACATGGCCAACACAAGTTAAATTTCAATTAACAACAAATGAAACAATACTTTATAATTACTCTATTTTGTATAGTCCAATATCGGATACAGATCTTGTTAGTAGATTTGTAGATTCTTGCCAACAAGTTGAAATCAAAACTGGATTGTATTATTCAATTATATGGAATAATTGGTTGAACGTACAAGGTGCTCGTGTTCGACCTGGACCACTAGCACCTGGTCAAATACCAATTACTCAAGAAACATATGAATCCATCGTTCTACAACAATTAGAAGAAATATGGTCGAACTATGGGCCTTTATTAGAAATTTGGTTTGATGGTGGTTATTCACAATCATTAAAAAGTGGAATATTAGCGTTACTCGAAGAGTATCAAGCCACTGCATCCATTTTTACTGGATTTGAGCTGA